TCGTTACTCAGGGACACAGAATTGTTACTCAGGGACACAGAATCGTTACTCAGGGACACAGAATCGTTACTCAGGGACACAGAATTGTTACTCAGGGACACAGAATTGTTACTGAGGGACACAGAATCGTTACTGAGGGACACAGAATCGTTACTCAGGGACACAGAATCGTTACTCAGGGACACAGAATTGTTACTCAGGGACACAGAATTGTTACTCAGGGACACTGAATTGTTACTCAGGGACACAGAATTGTTACTGAGGGACACAGAATCGTTACTCAGGGACACAGAATTGTTACTCAGGGACACAGAATCGTTACTCAGGGACACAGAATCGTTACATCAGGGACACAGAATTGTTACTCAGGGACACAGAATTGTTACTCAGGGACAGACACAGAATTGTTACTCAGGGACAGACACAGAATTGTTACTCAGGGACACAGAATTGTTACTGAGGGACACAGAATTGTTACTGAGGGACACAGAATTGTTACTGAGGGACACAGAATCGTTACTCAGGGACACAGAATTGTTACTCAGGGACAGACACAGAATTGTTACTCTAGGGACACAGAATCGTTACTCAGGGACACAGAATCGTTACTGAGGGACACAGATTCGTTACTGAGGGACACAGAATTGTTATTCAGGGACACAGAATTGTTACTCAGGGACACAGAATTGTTACTCAGGGACAGACACAGAATTGTTACTCAGGGACACAGAATCGTTACTGAGGGGACACAGAATCGTTACTCAGGGACACAGAATCGTTACTCAGGGACACAGAATCGTTACTCAGGGACACAGAATCGTTACTCAGGGACACAGAATTGTTACTGAGGGACACAGAATCGTTACTGAGGGACACAGAATCGTTGAATTAAAGAGTATGTCAGACAACACGCAGAGGAGTGGCAGAGGAGGCAATGTTTCAGGAGCGAGCAGACGTGGCAGCAGAGGAAGGGGTCGAGGCAGCACTAGTTGCAGCCAGAGGCCAGTGCTCCCGGTGTCATCCAGCGGTCGTGTCTCCAATGACAACCCTGCCGTCATCGATTGGTTGGCTCGGTCGTCTTCCTGTTCCCAGGTCACCTCTGACACCTACAGCCAACGGTCGGTGGGTACGTCAGACACAACCGTTAGTTGGCATGGCCCGGGAGCAAGCCCACTGAAATCACGTGTCCTCTACCTGCCCTGTCCTTTGGTGTTCCCTCACCAAGCGAAGTATCGCATGCTGTGGGCTCAGCCCCACTGTACAGTTGAGGAAGAGCTAACAGAGGGCGGTCAGGAACGGGGGGAGACATCCGCCTCTTCAGCAGCCAGGCGAAGAAGTACTGGCGAGGAGAGTGGCTCGGTAGCCGGTCTAGAGACAGGTCTGTCTCCTGACCCACACACAGCCGAGGGGGCTAGTAGTGTGGCGGAGACCCTAATTGATGATGATGAGGCTGATCGCACTTGGCAGCCTCGTCGTCATCAGGCTATTGCTTCGCATCATCAGGAGAAGAGGGTGCCAGCTTGGCAGCGAGCAAACAGTCGGTGGGTTGCCCAGGAGGCAGCAGGGTCGCAGCAGTGTCAGTGGAGGGAAAACGGCCATGGAGTAGAGCACCAGCTCCACTGCAGCCTACCACCACGGCCAGTAGTGGTGCCGTGTGTGCACGGAGGAAGTAGCAGTCAGCCAGTGAGGAGTAGCGGGGGCAAAGTTTCCTACTCGGCGGTGTGGCAAATTTTCGTCAAGCCGCCCGAGGAAGTAAACGTAGCCGTATGTCGACTATGTGGCCAGAAAGTCAAGCATGGCCAGGGGGCCAATGTTGGGACTACAGCGTTGCGTCAGCATATGCAGCATCGCCATTTGGTGGCCTGGGAAAACCGTGATAAAGATACGGCGGTTCTGCCTGCCCCAGCCCCCGCTCCATCACCCGCTCGTTACTTGCTCCGTCACCCGACGTCAATCGCCCTCTATCAGCCAGTCAAGGCTCCAACACCTCTGTGCTGAGGAGAGTTGTCGCTCGTTGGCATCTTCCGCTCGTTCAGATGCTCCCTTCTCCTGCTACTCCTCTTCACGGATTCCGTCAGCAGTCTTTCTTGGAATCCGTTTCCAAGAGACAACAGTTTGCGAGCACGCACCCGATGGTGCAGAAGCTGAACGTCCTCCTGTCCAAGTTGCTGGTGCTGCAGTCCCTCCCTTTCCAAGTGGTGGACTCAGCACCTTTCCGAGAAATGATGGCTTGTGCCGAGCCGCGGTGGAGAGTGCCAAGCCGGCATTTCTTCGCCAAAAAGGCAGTGCCAGCCCTGCATTCACATGTAGAAGAGATGGTGGGCCAGTCTTTGAGCATGTCGGTCTCTGCCAAAGTGCACGGCAGCGCCGACGTGTGGAGCTGTAACTACGGTCAGGGACAGTACATGTCATTTACGGCCCACTGGGTGAACGTGGTGCCGGCACAGCCGCACCAGCAACTTGGACAGGTCACGCCGCTTTTGCCTCCACGTTTGCACGTCCTTGGTCCAGCAAAGATGTCCGCCTCTACCACCTCTTCTTCCGCCGTGTCCTCAGCCGCCACCCCCGTGCCAAGTCCCATTACCCGACCGGCATATCACATGTGCAGGGCGCAACGGTGTCACGCTGTGCTGCACCTGGTATGCCTTGGCGAACGTAGTCACACAGGGGAGGAACTTCTGAGTGTAATGAACAGAGAAATCGACAGATGGCTGTCTCCGCGCAAACTGAAAATCGGAACCATGTTGACCGACAACGGAAAGAACATGGTGTCTGCTCTGCGTCAAGGAAGGTTGTGCCATGCGCCATGCATGGCTCACGTGTTCAATCTGGTTGTCAAGCGGTTCCTAAAATCCACCATCCCACTGCAAGACATCCTTAAAATGTCACGTAAACTTTGCATGCATTTCAGCCATTCCTACACCGCAAAGCACACCCTCCTTGAGCTGCAGCGGCAGAACGGAATTCCACAGCATCGCCTGATCTGCGACGTTGCAACAAGGTGGAATTCAACCCTACATATGTTAGACCGCCTTTACGAACAGCGAAAGGCCATCACCGATTTCCTGATGTTACAAGCGGATAAAGGTACTCCCCTGTGTAACTTAGATGTCAGCCATTGGCAGCTCATGCGTGACACCTGCCGCTTGCTCAGGCCCTTTGAGGAGGCCACGCTATTCGTGAGTCGGCAGGACTATGGGATGAACGACGTCATTCCTCTGTTGCACGTCCTGGAACAAATGCTGTTAACAATGGCTGGTCAGGGTGCGGTAGACGTGGCGCACAGATCTCAACGCCACATGACCCCTGTGGGGGCAGGACAGGAAGAAGAGGAGGAGGTAGAGGAGGACATTGGTGCTCAGGAATTATTGAGTGAAATGGGTGGTTTTTCCACTCAGCGGACAGGAGTGGAGGAGCAGGAGCATCTGGTAGAGGAGGAGGAGGAGACAGAGGACCCAGACGCACCGTGGCAGTATGCTGTGGAGATGGAGGCAGGGAGTCCCTCGCATTCCTTGGCACAAATGGCCCATAGCATGCTCGGTTGCTTGCGTAGCGACAGCCGAATAATAACCATCAGACGGATGACTTTTGGCTGTCCACCTTGTTGGACCCTCGCTACTGTTCAAAAATGGTGGCCTTTTTCACACCTGCTGAGAGGGAGGCCAAAATAACGTACTATAAAAACCACCTATGTAGTCAGTTGGTCCCTGCCTTTCTGCGCCAACGTCCATCCTCAGACACTGTGGGCCCTGTGCGCTCGCGTTCCGCTGCCATGGCAGCAGGGGAGGGGTGGGGTGGTAGGAGCAGTGGCAGCTCCACCAGCAGCGGCTGCCTTAGTCTGCAGTCGATGATGAGTAGCTTTCTTCACCAGCGCAGTGAGGAAACTACTAACCAGCCGCAGCAGCAGCAGCATCAGGTGGACCTGGAGCAGGACCTCAAACAACAGGCTTGGGCCTACTTGGACAGCACCCTGCCAACCGAGGTAGACAATCCCCTTGACTACTGGGCAACGAAACTTGACCTTTGGCCCCAACTAGCTGAATTTGCCCTTGAAAGGCTGTCATGCCCGGCCAGTAGCGTGGCATCGGAGCGCGTGTTTAGTGCGGCAGGAGGTATTGTAACTCCGCGGAGGACACGACTGTCCACCCAAAGTGTGGAGAGACTCACGTTTGTGAAAATGAATCAAGCGTGGATTAGTCTGGGTTTCAAACCACCAGTTCCTGACACAACTGACTAAATCCGCCATGAATCATGCCCCAAACATGTTATTATTTTTAACATAGGCCTCTGTATGGCCTTCAATTTAAGCTGCTTACGCTTCGCCACTCTGCCATGGGCCCCTGTACCGCCTCCTCTTGCTGCTGCCAGGTCCAGATTGTGTCATGGGTCCCTGTACGGCCTCCCATTGCTGCTGTCTCCATCGCCACACTCTGCCATGTGCCACTTTCAGGTCTCCTCACACTGCTGGTGGGTTCCATTTTGTCATAGGGTGCTGGAAGATTACGGGCCTCCCATTGCTGCTGCCAGGCCCGTAATCTGCCATGGGCCCCCGTACCGACTCCTCATGCTGCTGCCAGGCCCGTAATCTGTCATGGGCCCCTGTACCGCCTCCTCATGCTGCTGCCAGGTCCAGAGTGTGTCATGGGTCCCTGTACGGCCTCCCATTGCTGCTGTCTCCATCGCCACACTCTGCCATGTGCCACTTTCAGGTCTCCTCACACTGCTGGTGGGTTCCATTTTGTCATAGGGTGCTGGCAGATTACGGGCCTCCCATTGCTGCTGCCAGGCCCGTAATCTGCCATGGGCCCCCGTACCGACTCCTCATGCTGCTGCCAGGCCCGTAATCTGTCATGGGCCCCTGTACCGCCTCCTCATGCTGCTGCCAGGTCCAGAGTGTGTCATGGGTCCCTGTACGGCCTCCCATTGCTGCTGCCAGGCCCGTAATCTGCCATGGGCCCCCATACCGACTCCTCATGCTGCTGCCAGGCCCGTAATCTGTCATGGGCCCCTGTACCGCCTCCTCATGCTGCTGCCAGGTCCAGAGTGTGTCATGGGTCCCTGTACGGCCTCCCATTGCTGCTGTCTCCATCGCCACACTCTGCCATGTGCCACTTTCAGGTCTCCTCACACTGCTGGTGGGTTCCATTTTGTCATAGGGTGCTGGCAGATTACGGGCCTCCCATTGCTGCTGCCAGGCCCGTAATCTGCCATGGGCCCCTGTACCGACTCCTTATGCTGCTGCCAGGCCCGTAATCTGTCATGGGCCCCTGTACCGCCTCCTCATGCTGCTGCCAGGTCCAGAGTGTGTCATGGGTCCCTGTACGGCCTCCCATTGCTGCTGTCTCCATCGCCACACTCTGCCATGTGCCACTTTCAGGTCTCCTCACACTGCTGGTGGGTTCCATTTTTTCATAGGGTGCTGTATGGCCTCCCATTGCTGCTGCCTCCACCGCCACACTGTGGCTCCACACTCTGGTTTTGGCCCCGTGACTGCCCAAATGAGTGAAGTGTGCGGTGATTCTAAGATCGACGGCACTCATCTGCATGTCATACTGACTGACAGTATTATTTCTCTTCCCCAGCAGACTCCAAGGGCATTTAAATTAAAGGTACAGTGTTCTGCACTAATATAAAGGCTCTCTGAAGCCTAGAAACACCCTTTTTATAAGTTAAATTCACAGCGAATATATTCGACTCGAATCGAATTTATTCCGCGAATTCGCCGAATCAGCCGAATCGAATTTTTGAATAATTTGCTCATCTCTACTCAGGATCACCACACCTCCTCCATTATCTGCTGGCCTGATCTTTTACTAAATCTTTCCTTTCAAGCAAAGATTTAATGGCCCTATTGTCACCTGCTCCATTATACGGGTCCTTGACGGAAATGTTTCTGAGGTCTTTTAGGACCTTATCCTTAAAAATATTGACACAGGAGTGTACTTGGGGTGGTGGGTTGTAGGTAGATGCATTCCATAGATTCGAATGTACAAATCCATTAGAGGTAGTGTTATTGGTAATTGGGTTATTTAAAAAATACCGTTTCAGAGACAATTGTCTAGCAAATTTATGCACATCAATGTATGTACTGAATTTACTGTATAATACACACTAAGATAAATACACTAAGGAGCGTATGGTTCCCAGATCATTGCGCTGGGACGTACGCCCAGACGCCCAGACAGTGTGTATAATACACACTAAGATAAATACACTAAGGAGCGTATGGTTCCCAGATCATTGCGCTGGGACGTACGCCCAGACGCCGAGGATAAAAACAGCCATTTGGAATGGTTCCAGTTTTTTAATAATACTGGATTAGATCTGTTAAAATTCCTCATTACCAGAAAGAAGAAAAAAACTTGCACATCTAGACAAAGAGATTAATCTTATACGAGAAAAATTAACCCCTTTCAAGGGTAAGGATAGCTACAATATAGAATCAGATAAACTCAAAAAGCACCTGGAGGGGATAGAAAAGGAACAAAGGATAAAGAAAAAGTTCCACAGGGATTTTAAGGATTATTCAGACCATGAGGTCTTTGATTGGCAAAAACAGAAAGACTCTGCTCCACCTATTTCCAACCATAAAATCCCAACTAACAACATTTCTAAATTCAACAGACAAAATCAAAGGACTTCTAATAATATTTATCATAAACAGCAGTATTCCATTCTTTTATCCAATAGGTTCCAACCTCTTCAGGACGATAATATTGGTTCCAGAGAGTTCTATATGCACCCAAATGCCCATGATAATTATGTTGGGGGTAGGATCCCTACTGATTACTATACCCCTCCAAGAAAAACTAATTGGCCATCTTCCCAACAGAATAAGTTTAGTCTTCCCAACCAACATCATCACTCCAATTATAATTCCACCAATCCCAATTATCCAACCCCACGGAAATTTAAGGACTATGGTGGAAGAAATCATTCCTTTCCCAATAACCCTCCTCAATGGAGGAAACCAACTAACTCCCAGAATAATTATCAAAATAATAAACAACCTCCTCAAAATCCTGCCCCTAAAGGCTCTTATCAGCCTTACCATCCCAGACAGCCTTTTTTAGAGGAGGGCCGACCAAGAAAAAGGAGAGGCACGGGAGAGGAAAGAGAGGGGGAAGAAGGACGAGTAGACACTCCAAAAAAGAGAAAAAATGTACCCGGCAAAGGTATCTTTAATTTGAGTGATACGCATCTAACTGATGATGAACTACGACTTCTTGATAAAGGACTAAAGTATGCACCTGCAAAGAAACTGAATAAATTCAGTACATACATTGATGTGCATAAATTTGCTAGACAATTGTCTCTGAAACAGTATTTTTTAAATAACCCAATTACCAGTAACACTAACTCTAATGGATTTGTACATTCGAATCTACGGAATGCATCTACCTACAACCCACCACCCCAAGTACACTCCTGTGTCAATATTTTTAAGGATAAAGTCCTAAAAGACCTCAGAAACATTTCCGTCAAGGACCCGTATGATGGACCAGGTGACAATAGGGCCATTAAATCTTTGCTTGAAAGGAAAGATTTGGTAATCAGGCCAGCAGATAAGGGAGGAGGTGTGGTGATCCTGAGTAAAGATAACTATATTACTGAGGTTAATAATATTCTGAATGACAGTACTACATGTAAGCCTTTACCACGAGATCCAATGCTAGTCTACAAGAAAGAACTTAAGAAGATTATCAATAAGGGCTATAATTTAAACATTCTAGATAAGAAAGAAAAGGCTTTCTTATGTCCTTCGGCACCTAAATTGCCTATATTATATATTCTCCCCAAGATACATAAGGACCCTGTCCATCCACCGGGTCGTCCAATAATTAGTGGGATTGGATCCCTTAGCTCAAAAATAGGGGAATATATAGATTTTTATCTTCAACCTTTGGTGACACAAACTCCGTCTTACCAATGTGATACTAAGCAGGTGTTAAATATAGTGAGCACTTTAAACACACTACCAAGCACCTACCTTGTCACATCCGATGTAGCCTCTCTCTACACAAATATCAACCATGCTGATGGTATGGAGGCTGCGGATTTTTACCTCACTAATTATAGTACCTTACCTATTGCACAAAAACACTTTATTCTTGAGCTACTGGAATTTGCAATGAATCATAATTACTTTTGTTTCAACCAATCGTATTACTTACAGGTTAAGGGGGTTGCAATGGGGGCCACGTTTGCCCCCAGCCTAGCGAACCTCTTCATGTCTCGATGGGAAGAGGACTTAATTTACGCTAGAGATTGGCCTGAATTAGTTATGTACAAAAGGTACATAGATGATATTATTCTTCTTTGGAACGGTGGGAAAGAATCTTTGGTCAACTTCTTCACCAGCCTTAATAATACCAACCTCAATATTAGTCTCACATTTACATATAGTCAATCTGAAATAAATTTTTTAGATGTCACTCTTATTAATTTTAACGGTAAAATTGTGACAAAATCATTTTTTAAAAAGCTACAGATAGTAATAGTTAAATTCCAACCAGCAGTTGTCATCATCCTAACTGGTTGGGTAACATTCCGAAGGGTCAGTTTATGCGCATCCGTTGCAATTGCACAGACATCGACACTTACTTTACCCAAGCCATGATACTTAAGAAAAGGTTTTTAGAAAAGGGTTATAAGGAGGATATTTTGGATAACACCATACAGGTGGTTGCTCAATGTGATAGAAATTAAATGTTATTGAGTAAACCCAGACCAACACAAACAATGGTCTGCCCCTTTATTACCACCTTTTCCACACAGTTTAGACAGATTGGGGGGATCATAAGGAAAAACTGGAATTTATTAAAACTGGATCCTACACTGTCTAAAATTCTGCCTGACAAACTGGTAATTATTTTCCGGAAGGCAACAGCAATCAGGCATCAGATAGCACCCAATGTAGTGAACCCCCCCAACTGGCACTACATTTTTTGGTGACCTGAAAGGGTTTTACCCTTGCAATAAATGTATTATTTGTAAATGCAATGGCATTAGAAAATGTAGAATTAATACTTTTGAGTCTTTTACAACTGGATAAACATACACCATCAATTGGTTCATCTCATGCAATAGTAAATTTGTAGTGTATCTTCTCCAATGCCCATGTTACAAACAGTATGTGGGTCGCACGACTAGACGACTTCGCGACCGCATGTAGCCAATATTAGGAAGGGCTACAGGGAACATTCTCTCTCTAACCACTATAGGTTGTTTCACAATAATGACCTTTCCTCTCTTAAGTTTGTGGGAATTGATGTGATATCACCACATTGGAGGGGCGTGAACAAAACTAGAGCGGTGTCGCAATCTGAAACAAAATGGGTGTATGAATTAGATACCTTACACCCTAGAGGACACAACATTGAAATTGATGTAAATTGCTTTATAGCTAATAATTAATATCCTGTATATTAATCCAGCAATTATTGACCCTATTTCTAATATATATCTTTGATTGTCTATTGTAGATTGACATACAGTTGCAAGAAAAAGTATGTGAACCCCTTGGGATTACGTGGAGTTTTGCATGAATTGGGCATAAAATGTGGTCTGAACGTCAACTAAGTCACAACAATAGAAGAACACAGTCTGCTGAACATAATACTACACAAACATTAGATGTTGCCATGGTTTAATTGCACATAACATGTAAACATTCACAGTGCAGGGAGGAAAAAGTATGTGAGGCCCTAGCTTAATGACTTCTCCCAGAGCTAATTGGAGCCAGGAGTGAGCCAACCTTGACTCCAATCAGTGTGATGATATTGGATGTGTTGCTGACAGCTATCCTGCCCTTAAAAAACACACACACCTGTTTTGGGTTTACTGGTTTCAAGAAGCACTGTCTGATGTGAACCATGCCTCGCAGAAAAGAGCTCTCAGAAGACCTACGATCAAGAATTGTTGACTTGCATGAAGCTGGAAAGGGTTACAAAAGTATCTCCAAAAGCCTTGATGTTCATGTGTCCACGGTAAGACAGACTGTCTACAAATGGAGAAAGTTTAGCACTGTTGCTACTCTCCCTAGGCGTGGTTGTCCTGTAAAAATGACGTCAAGAGCACAGTGCAGAATGCTGCATGAGGTAAAGAAGAATCCCAGAGTGTCAGCTAAAGACCTACAGAAATCTCTGGCACATGCTAACATTTTTGTTGACACATCTACAATAAGGAAAACATTAAACAAGAATGGAGTACATGGGAGGACACCACGGAGGAAGCCATTGCTGTCCAATAAGAATATTGCAGCACGTTTGAAGTTTGCAAAAGAGCACCTGGATGTTCCACAGCACTACTGGCAAAATATACTGTGGACAGATGAAACCAAGATTGAGTTGTTTGGGAAGAACACACAACACTATGTGTGGAGAAAAAAAGGCACAGCACACCAACATCAAAACCTCATCCCCACTGTGAAACATGGCGGAGGGAGCATCATGGTTTGGGGTTGCTTTGCTGCCTCAGGGCCTGGACGGATTGTTGTCATTGATGGGAAAATGAATTCCAGAGTTTATCAAGACATTTTGCAGGAAAACATACGACCATCTGTCCGCCAACTGAAGCTCCGCAGAGGATGGGTGATGCAACAGGACAATGACCCAAAGCATACAAGTAATTC